GGATCTGTATTAAACCGAACTGATAATTTATGGTTCTTTAATAGCAATAGCAGTAGACTTATATACCGCTTCATAGGCCTTTCAGGCCTCTCTAAGCGGTTTACAGAGAGTCAGCATATTGCCCCCAACAATCTGGGTCCTCATTTTACCCACCTCGGAAGGATGGAAGGCTGAGTCAACCCTGAGCCGGTGAGATTTGAACCACTGACCTGCTGATCTAGCAGTAGCCTGCAGTGCTGCAGTGACATTACTTTCACTTTAATATGGTTTTGTTTTATTTTTATCCTACCTCTATTACCTCTATTATTTTTATAAATAACTCAAGGCAGCAAACATGCCTAATATTCTTTCAGCCTCCTATTTTCCCTACAACAACCACCTTGTGAGGTCAATTGGGTCGAGAGAGGTTGACTAACCCAAAGTCACATGGCTGACATTCATATATGTCTAAAGCAGGACTAGAACTCACAATTTTCTAGTGATTGGCAAAGTCACCCAGTCCACTTTGATGCCTAAGGCAGGACTACAACTCACAATCTCCCAGTTTTTAGCCTGGTACCTTAAACTTACTCTCATGTTCATCAAGTTCACCCATTGAGATAATTTTGTTGTTGTATAGAGACGAGTAATCTTCGGTGGATGGGAGCTACAGTAAGTATTTTTCAAAAGTGGTTTGATCTCCAAGGTCCATAGGGAAATGTCCAGTCAAATGGTTGCAACAGACTTTTTAGCTATTGGAGGGGGGAGTGGAGTTACTTGGGCTGGGCACTGTAAGCTTTCAAACCCTGCAGTATGAAATTGATAGTAAATGTTTATATATTTGACTGTTTTAATACAAAGGTGGGATGTCGACACTTTCCTTTTTTAGGGTAGCCCAGAAGCGGGAAGATGCTGTTTCCAAAGAAGTGACCCGCAAGCTTTCCGAAGCAGATAATAGGAAGATGTCACGAAAGGAGAAGGACGAGAGGTGATGTTCTGTCATTATCCAATCATACAATGTTATTTGCTCAGTAATTGAATTCCCTTATTTTCAAAGAGAATTCTAAAGCTGGAGGTTTCGTTGGGGATCAACCTGGTGATTCTCGTCGTTTTATAGCTTACTTGATTTGGAGTTGCAAACTTTATGCTTGCTAATTTGGGTCTCCTTAATGAAACAGTGGAAGGGAAGGGATGCCTGAGTATTAATCAATGAATGGGCATTTTGGAACTGCAAACACATGTGAGAAAACCTACTTTGCTGATTTTTTTTTTAATGAAGCAATGAGTATGTCTGGACTTATTCACAAACTAATGGTCCCTTTTGGGGGGGGGTGTCTAAATCTGTTATTGTCTTAAGGGTGTTTTGGGGTAGTTTTTAATCTGGTATTTGTCATTCACCATTTTATGTAATGTGCATTAGAAATGGTTTTTAAAACTTTTCCTTAAGGCTTAGTTTTCTTCAGGTTTTGGGGGTATTCACTGACACTTGGATAATCACTGTCTTTCACAAATAAGATGCAGATTATTTTATTTTGAAAAACTAAGGTAATTGTTTGAAAGTTGGCCAGGAACTTACTTGGCAAGAAACCAAATCCTCTTTAAGACCTGATTTGAAAAATGGTCTCTGATACTTGTCAACTTTAATCAATCTGCTGATGGTAAACACAATGTAGTAGAAGAAATGGTATTTCATTGAGTATAGGTATCAGATTTGGAGAAATAATTTTGTAGTAACAAATTTTAGAATCTTAAAAGCCACAGAAAAAAATCAATATTGTAAAATTAGTTTTTGCACTTAGTGAAAAAATGTTTTTTTTAAAAAGAAAAATTGCAATTTGGAGAAAAATGGTTTTGTCAGTGCCAAAGTGCTACTACATACATAAAGATAAATGTATTGGTTTTTTTTTTTGCCTTTGCAGAATTTTGTGGAAGAAGAATGAAGTGGCAGACTATGAAGCAACAACCTTCTCTATCTTTTATAATAACACCCTCTTCCTTGTCCTAATAATTGTTGCTTCCTTTTTTGTGTTGAAGAACTTCAACCCCACCGTGTATCCTCTTTTAACAAAACATAGGTCAAATAGCTTTTTGAGTCGTTTGTACAAATACAGGGTTTTGAACCAGTAATCTATATAATTCCGATGTGGGAAGGAATGGGTAAATTGTAATTACCATGCTAAGATTCACTCCATCAAAAAGGCAAAAGAAAAAATGTCTATAGTTCAACAGTGGACTCCTACAGTGAGTCAGGAGTCAGTCTCACTGGCCAAAACAATTTTTTTCAACTGTGCAGCTCTTTAAATTGTAAATAAGAAGAGCACATGTAGAGAGCATTGAACTATTACTTTATTAGAATTAGAAGCATCACTTCTAATTGTCCCCATTAGTCGTACGTTTTACCAACCTTACGATTTTTTTTGCAGCTTTTTTGTCTTTTTATAGCCAGTATCAAGAGGAATTAGAAGAAAGGAATGGTTATTGAAATCTACAAATGAGCAGACTTGGGTCTGATGGTTATTACTCTAATCAATATTCAAAATTATCCTAATAGTTAAAGCAATTGGCTAAAAATAAAATAATGGAATTTAACAATGTCAAGTACTAAAGTGAGGAGACTGAAATAAAAGGCTAGGTATAGGAAGGGGTTCCTGATTTGGTGGTAGTATTTGTGAAAATTATAATGAATTACAGGTTAATGTGGCTAACTGAATGATTTGGCTTCAAAAAGTCACTTCTAGATGAGATGGACGACATATAAGTCAAACAAATAAATGTAGTGTAATGTAATGTTGGGCTACTTTAGTAGAAATATAATTTCTCTGTCACAAGAACTACCGGTAATCATTCCTTTATTTTCTCTGGTTATACTGCACCTTGAGTATTATGATGAGTTCTAAACTCTAGAATTTAAGGATTCATAATATATAATTGAAAATGATCAGGGAACTAGAAACTAAAACCCTGTAAAGGGAGAGTGAAGGAACTGGGTGCCTTTAGCAAATGCAATGAGGGAAAAATAGAATTTTAATCTTTAAATGAAAGGAAGCCACATAGAATTTTGATGAGATGCTCAACTGGATTTTTTTTTTTACATAACTTCCCTGATCAATTTGTTTTTGAATTCAAAACATTCTGTATCGAACCAGAGTTGGGAACATAGAACTTGGGGAGGGTGTCACATAGAGAAAAATGAAATGCAGGATAGTGAATAATGGATTTTAAATTGCAGGAAAGGTCCTGGAATTAATTGCACATAAGGGCGGTGGGCAGACTTCCATTGGAAGTTTTCAAGCATAGACTGGGCAACAATTTCTCATGTGTTCATATTGATTCCTATGCAAGGCAAAAATTGGATTAAGTGGGCCTACATGGGTGATTGTTTGATGAGGTGCCATCTCACTGCCAAAGGGAATTGTTGATGGTTTCCAAGTGCCTTGATTTTTTGCATTTGATATTGGGTAGTAGAATTCAAATATTTACGTGTATTTGGGAGCTGTCTTTTGCACAGTTCTTTCGTAAGACATTTATTTGCAGTAAGAAATCCTGGTAGATATATTCCATGAGCTGTGGTGGCGCAGTGGTCAGAGTGCAGTACTGCAGGCTATTTCTGCTGACTGCAGGCTACCTGCAATTTGGCAGTTCAAATCTCACCAGGCTCAAGGTTGACTCGGCCTTCCATCCTTCCGAGGTCAGTAAAATGATCCAAATTGTTGGGGGCAATATGCTGACTCTGTAAACTGATTAGAGATGGCTGTAAAGCACTGTGAAGTGGTGTATAAGTCTAAGTGCTATTGCTTTCTTGCTAACATTTTCCTTGACTGCTTTTTCAGAAATTACATCCTCTCCATCAGTTTTTCATCTGGACTGATTGCTTTATTATCTACAGGCTCAAAGTAGATAGAATTGTTTGGGTATACGAATTCATCTGTGTCTTGCCCAATCAGAAGAAGGTAGATTTGCCATTTGTACATTGTCTTTTTTTTTTTTGTACAAGATGGGATGAGAATAGGAAGCAATTTTGTTATAAAATACCATTCTAATTTAGGCTTGCAATGTGCTTATTCAAAAAAACTTCTGACCATTCCGGAGAAGATAGAGATCCAGCTGTATCATCTGAGAAATTCTACTAGATCTGGAATTCTTGATTAGAAGTTTTTGGGGGTTTTGTTACATTGTTATTAAATTTTTTTTGCTGAAAACAGTGATTGTATGTGTAAATTTGTGATAAAGATAATTGTAGACTTAAATTCTGAAACCAGAATTTCCATTGCTAAGCAAGGCAGTTATTAAATGAGTTATGCCCAATTTGTTAACCTGGGTACTTTCTCCTCAAGGGTCCAGGCTTGGGCCTGCTTTACTAGACAACTGTGACTCAGTCTCCAACTCTGCTTATATGGTTTGGGACCTGATTACTTGCCAAATTTTGCTCCTGTTCTGAAGTCCTGATAAAGCATAACTCACATGCTTAGTCCCCCAAACCCTCTTTTATTTAAATGATTCACAAACAATCTGTGAAGAGTCTGACAGATATCTGCCACAGTGTTTTAGGGTAATGCTGATAAGCACCACCTTTATCGCTCTTGAAACGCTGCCGGAGACCTAATTTCCAATTAGTTTTACGAGGCCAAACAGAACACAGACTCAAATGGAGCTTCTCAGCGTTTGAACCGACCAGAATGAACAAAGGCTCTCTTCTGTATGCTCCTCTTTTATATCTTATCATCATCTCCAAACCTTACTCCCAAGTCGCCCTTTTTGTCTTAATTGTTCTTGTCTTTTGGAAGCTCTGTGCATGCTCACAGTGGGAACAGGCTCACACTGTTCTTCTGCCTCGCTGATGTCAGATTCCAGAGGCTCAAAAATCAATAGATCCAGTCATATATTTGGGGCACAAAATGCCTTTATTATGTACAAGCTAAAGTAGAAAGCAATTCCTGGTATACAGCAATTGAATTCATTTACATAGAATACTGAAGGAAATAGAAATATTAAAAAGGGTGGATCTATTTTTTAAAATCCTAGGAGCTTGCTTTGATCACAGGATTTCCATATGAAATTTCAAATGAACATGCTGGATGTAGAGATTGTGTCTTAGAAACCTCAGAACAATATATGCAGGTGTTCCTTACCCCAATCCAGAAAAACATCATGGAAGTATTGTCTTTTCATTACAGGAGCTCAATGTATCTTGGTTAAAGAGCATCATTGGAGCCTATTGTGTCCACTAAAGTGAACAGACAATGCTGTTCTAGGTTGGAAAAAAGATAATAAATTTCTGCAACCTGGATCACACAAGTGGTGTTGGTTAAATGGGCAAAACCATATAATGCTTGTACAAAGGGGAAGCCTTTGATCTCCATGAACATGGTTTGGAGTATACAGATAACTTGTCTAAATTAAGATTCCAACTGTAAAAGGAAATACGCTGATTTGTATGGCAGGAAACTTAAGATTACTAATAAATGTTCAACAGCAGAAAATAAGGAATATGTAATGCATAGTTGATACCCAGCATTTTAAAGTACTGGAGTAGTTTGGATCGTGGTCATAAATTGCAGCCTATAAATATTTAGTAAGAGACACGTTTGGATCTTTTAAACTTATTTTAAAAACGCCCAGCATTGCACCATCAGAACCGATAACAGTCTGACATTGCAGGATGATTTTTACACAGACTAGAAAAATGTTACTTTCTAGTCAGAGGCAAACTCTAAGAAACCTCTTAAATGCCATTTATTCTGTTAGAATAAGGGTTCTTAGCTACCAAAGTGGACTATCACAATCAATGGGAAAACTGGCTTTTTCTGGGATGTAATGTCCCCGAAATGAAAACACCTGGTAGAGTTCATTCTGCATTGTGTTAAAGGACGAATCCAAGTATCTATAGCCAACAAAAGCAAAATACAGAAGAGAAAGAGATACAAGCATGGTTAAGAGCTTGAAATTATACAGTATTGAAGTCCGAACATTAGTTGCCTCTTCCTCAAGTACCAGGATAATTTTGAACTTAAAAGCTTAATCAAATTGGTAAGGGTCCTTGAATGAAGGACTGCATGGGAATCTAGGCGATGGCCAGAGATTTCATACCATTTGTTTCCTTGCATCTGCCAAGAAAATTGCATGTTTTTTGTCCATTTGAAGTATCTTTCATGGAAACGTGTAAATAAAACCTGGGAAATGTGGCAGAACAGAGTGGCTCCTTTGATGCACATGGATGCCCATGCCTTTTCTTTTTTCTTTTTTTGTACAGATTCTTAGCATATGGTGCCCTCATTTTTCAGTTTGCTTTTGCTGGCTTTTAGCCACCCGGCTGCAACAGAATAATTGTGTGTAAATAAAATAGCAGCCTTTAATATGCCACAACAAAGGCACACACAGAATCTGCACCCCAAATTCTAGAATGCAGCCCTGGCATTCATTAGTCTGGTTTAATACTTGGGCATTTTTAATATTCAGATGGACAGGATGACTGAAAAAAAGTCCAAAAAAAGTCACTTTACTTCTGTTAGTCTAATGCTGCAATAATAACAATCACAGATGCAATTTACAAATGGAATGGGGGGAGAAGGTAAGGAATCGAGCAAACAAACATCTGAGGATTTCATTGAACTGTGATAAAGTACTTTCATCTACAGGGCTATCAGAAAAGTATACGGCTCTACACACTATGTACATTTATTATACAGTTGCCTAGACATTGCCAAAAAGATTTTAGTAAAAGAGCAGTTAACTACAGCATTTCAAATTCCATTTCTGTAGGAACAATCATTTTTTCTCTTTATTTCACCGGCTAAGTGTTCTTCATCTTACAGTAATCACCATGGTATCTATTTATTTCAGTACTTACACTTCAGAAAGCAATTTGGCTTTTTAAAAACAATGCATTACAATGCAGCCAAAATCACATTAAAATCGCGTTATTTCAATGGGATTGTATAGCAATTCCAAGCATTCTTTCTTAAAGCATTCTTGCATTGTGCTTCAAGCAAAGTTCTCAGAATGCTAGAATGGCTTATATATGATCGATAAAAACAAGTTAGTCCTGCCTGCAGGTTTACAGTCTGAATCTTGCTTATAAGTGCTTGGCTGGAACAGATACATTTTTTTTAAAGAAAAAAATGGATGATAGACATAGATACCAATCTCCAATTCCTCAATGTTGTTTCTGTCTTTAAACAGTAAACCTTTCAGCCCAAACCCAAACCGAACAGTTTATCTAGAAATCAATTCTATTTAAAAATGCAAATGGCAAAACTTTGAACTTACCTATTGTTAAGAGAGCTTGACGAATCTAAATCCCTGAAATTGTCTAAGCTTTCAACTGTACCTGGCTTTTCATTTATTGAAAAAATATATCTATATATCCTTTTTATTTTCAAGTACCTAAGGCTTAGAAATCTTTGATTCTTTGTATTTTCACTGCATAAATAGGAAGAGAGGAAAAACAAGACTCGGCGGGGTTAGACTGTTAAGAAAATCTTACGCGAACCCCAGTGAACTGAATGTTTCTGCTTTTTTTTTGCATTTTTCATTCTTTCATTAGAATCAAATTGATCTGAGTCAAGATTAAATCCAAACTCTTAAGATTTGATATATTTTAAAAACAGGAAAGACAATTTAGTTTAGACAGATCAGCTGTGTTACTGAATTTTGGTGGAACATAACCATCTTGGAGGATCTAGTTAATTACAATTGCAGAATATTTTTTTAATTGTAACTGGATAGTATCAACTCAGTACACTACTGTGTGCAGAGCTGTTGTTTAGCCATGCAGTCCAGATTAATCATGCAGTACATTAGGATCTGTAGTCCTTTTTGCAGAAAGGTTTGTTCCCCAAAATATTATCAATTTCATTCACAATGTGAGTTGTCATCTTTGGAAGAACCTGCAGGGAAAGAAACACACATGTACTTTAACTAGTGGTGATCTGAGATTTTGGAACACAGATTAATTGCAAAGGAACCCTAGAAAAAATTGAATTCTGTAATGCCTTTAATCTCCATACGATGTCATTATTTTTTGCTTTGTTCAATCCAACAGAAGTTGAGGCTCAAATACTTTGGCTATCAAATGGGTAGAGAGGACTCATTGGAAATGGCCCTGATGTTGAGAAATATTGAAGGCAAAAGGAGAATGGGGTGGCAGGAGAAGAGATGGTTAGATAATGTGTGTCAACTCGCAAAGCATTTCTAGTCTGCTCTTGAGTTGCCATGGGCTGCAAGGGGGGAACACATTCCACACATACCTTCTTCCAGGGCTGGATCTCAGATGACCAAAGCCGGCTTGTGAGGCACGGATTTCTATAGCCCGCGGGAATACTTCATTGGAGAATGTGATTTACGACACAGATTGAGAGCAGGGGGGTTATGGTCAAAGTTGAGCCATAAATTACATGCAGCAGAGTTGACTTCGAGTAGATGCCGACATGCTGCTCCTAATAAATAACTGGTTTTCTCTTGAAACTTGGCTCGAGACTCATGAGTTAATTAGGGAACCTTGATAATGTCATTGATTCAATTAACATGAATTTGGGCAAACACTAGGAGACAGTGGAGAACAAGGAAGTGTGCTATGATCCATGGGGTCACAAAGAGTCTGACATGACTTAGCGACTGGACAACAACAACTAATCCCAAAGAAAACCTTTGTACTTGCCTGGATGGCACCAAGATTTTCTATCAATTGTTCGGCATTGGATGATCCAAGGAGAACAGAACTCACACCTTCATTACGAAGACACCATGCTGGGAACATGAGAAATACTCATAAGCATATATTAGCGATAGCATTTTGGAGTCAGCAAAGGTAACATTAAATTGGCAGACTTAATTCTTGGAATTATGAGTCCTTTCCCCTTACCATTATCGTCTGCTTGCATCAAATTAGCAAGATTCTATGAACTGGAATATTTAGTTGGACACTGCTTTTATTTATCAGGTGATGCATTTTTTGCTTCTTTAGTTTGTTTCTGCTGCTGTTTTCTTTTTAAATTTTAGGACTAGGGTTTTATTTGCAATTATGCTCTAACTCCTTTGGCTGGGGTGGAATTGAACGTAGGTCTCCCCAGTTCTGTAACCATTAGAATATACTTATTTCAGTTCATTTTAACTCTGGCTGAAATTCATGCTTGGATTTAAAAAGTGGCTATTAAATTATTTCAACACCTAAAGTATATTTAAATTAATTGGATTCAGGCTTAAAGGAGACCATCTCATTTAATAGGATTGAAATTATGAGTAACTTAAATTTTCCTGATTTTGATGAGCAATACTTAGCACAGTTAAATCTGGCTTTTAATAAAGAAATGGCAGGTTGTTAGCACTGTGTTTGACGATCCATTTTCCATTTTCTCTTGAATAGAGAGCGTCTCTTCAATGATGATGATGGATTATGACTTATAGCTACAGCTACACCCAGCCAAAGTATTCTCCTGCGTCAGAAATATTTGCTATATCGTACATAAAGTACATATAATATACATATACATTGTTAACTTAAATGTACACAATCAACATATATTTAATTGGAGGTACAAAGCCCAAGCTGTCATTTTTTTTTCTCCCCTGCATCTTATCCTGGGACCTGGACACCATTAACACTTTTACATAAGCAAATAAATGCCTACAAAAATAAAATAATGACATCACTGAAGAAAATTCTGCAAGGTACAGTATCTGTGACAGCTTGTCCCTCTGCATGAGAACAAGCTCATAATGTCAACACAGTTAAGCATCACTGAGCACAGAGATTAAAAAAAAATAAGGAACTGAGGGGGGGGGCAAACCCCCAAATCCCTTACCGACTGCTAGTTGAGGTAGTGTACATCCAAGGCGTTCAGCAATTGGGAAAAGTTCCTTCAGTTTTGATTGTTGCTTTTTTCCTTCCTCGTTCACAATTTTCTCCTTTAGCCATTGATAGCACTTGCAAATCAAAACACAATAGAAGACAATTTAAGTCCACGTCTGAATTTTAACTCCCAGAATGTCTACCTAGCTGCCACACATTAGGTGAGAATTATATATTGACGTTCAGCACAAATAAGGGGCATCACATTGGAGAAGCCTGGTTTATATCAGTTCTTAATTCTCACTGTTTTGCTCATGACTGTTATTTCAAAGTTTTATCAGAAAATATATGTATTATATGTATTCAGGGTTTATCAGAAAATTGGTTTTAATCATAGTGTGACTTTTCACTGATATTAGTAAAGGTAGTTATACTAACCGTACAATGACCAGCAATCATGAATAAAATTGCTCTGGAAGTTGGGAGGTACCATATTTTTTGGACTATAAGACACACCAGAATATAAGACACACCATGATTTTGAAGAGGTAAATTTTTTTGCATTCTGCAAGCCTTGTTTTTTTTTGCAAAAAAAAAGGGGCATGCAGAGCTTTGGCTCCTGTGGGCTGCCCTCCCGAAAAAGGAGCAAAAAACAGTCTGTTTTTTGCAAAAAGGGGCCTTTTTTTGCAAAAAAAAAAAAAAAAAGGGCATGCAGAGGCTTTGGGAGACTTGTGAAGTGCTCCTGGGGAATGGGGGGCAAAAATGGTCCATTTTTTGCTCTTTTTTGCCCTCCCCAACCCTCAGGAGCACTTTGCAAGCCTCCCAATCCCTCTGCACGTCCATTTTTGCAAAGAGGGTGGGATTTTGGTAGGCCAAAAATGCTGTATTCAGTGTATAAGACGCTCCCAGATTTTCACCCTCTTTTTTTGAGGGAAAAAGATGCATTTCATACTCTGAAAAATACGGTAAGTTTTCTTCTAGGTTGTATTTAACCCAATATATTTAATTCACATACTTAATCTGAGCTAAGCACAACAAAATCTCTTGTCTATTAATCTCTTGTGTGGAGCAGCCTATCTGCCTTAAAGACCAAACTGTGAAGCTGTAAAGGCTGCTTCCGAATACACTACAATAATTGTCATGCATTGGGTCATCCATCAAAACAGCAAGAAACTTTTACATTGTTGCCAAGAAAATTGTCTAGACATGGGTGAAATATTTAGACAAGTCTGTATGTCAACTGACATGGTTTCCAGGTTAGAAGGCATGTCTTGAATTACTTGGGGAAAATGTTGAACTTTCACAACTCAAAGTGATGATGTGGTCAGACTAAAGCCAGAAGAGTCTGGTCACTAAAACAGAAGTTCTTTGTTTTACAAATACACTTAAGTACTTGTAAAAGTACACATAGTTGGATGAGAGAATTTTAAAAAAAGCAAAAATGAAAACAGGAATGAAGTATATGGAGTTGGAATGATCTGTGAGTGGATGAATGGCTTGAAATAAGCCACTTTATATCAGCTGATAACCCAGCGTTGCTTGGGTATTTATCTATAGGGGGGAAATGTCTGGACCAAACATAATTTCTAATATTGGATTTCCCCCCTTACCAGAGGGAGCCCACTTGTGGAGTACTGTGGAGTCGTTACCATGGCAACTTCACTGTGATGAACAGTAGAAGTCAGTATGTCAATATGGCACAACAGGCTGTATCTTAACAGAACATACACACCGAGGGGTGTTAGGGGTGTCTTGCTCCCCCCCCCCCAGTATTTTTCTCCAGAAGTTAAGTCATCTGTGTACCAAGTTTAGTTGAAATTGCTCGAGGCATTCCAGAGTTATGCTGGAACACACAATAAATCTATTTATTGTTGAATCTTGCTTCACGCACACACACCACACCTATTAGATGATTCAGACAGGAGACAAATATGAAAAAAATGAGTGGCAATAATATTTTTTAAAATATTGCTACTTATGAACTCAGCTACAATCCAATAAATGATAAGAGGTTATCCAGTAGAATTAGTGGCTACCGGTAGACATTAATCTTAAACTTAAAATGCATTTAATGGAGGTGCAATTATTGAAGAGACTGAGAAATTCTATTGCAAAAGGCAAAATAGTAAACTGCAACATCTAGAAACAACACAGTGCCATGAATGGATGTTTAGAATGCAAAAACTTGTGAAATGGAAGATCCTGGAACTACAGTCAGATTTTTCTTGAATAAATTTTGCTGGTCATTGACTGAATAAACATTATAGACTGACTGATTAATTTACTGAATAAATGCATACAAGTGAGATGGGCAGAGTTTTGCAAAGAAAGTTTGTTTATTGCTGAATCTTGCTTCACGCAACATAGATATAAACTCTACAAATGGATGTCATCAAATGAACTGTAATGGAATAAAGCTAGCTATATATTAATAAATAGAAGACGGAGAAGTGAAATACAGTCAACCAGGACATTTTCTAATTCAGATTATGGAGATATCATGATTACTGGATCAAAATATAAGGTCTAAATTTAGAAGTTCAAAGAGAAGGCACCTTGTCAGAATATAAGAACAATGTAAGGAACAGATTTAGTATGCTTATGTGAAATTTGATGGGAAAAGAAACCAAAGGATGAAATAAGAGACAATGGGAAAGCTGAGGTTTCTTCTAGAGACAAGGATACATTTTGTCCTTTGTATTTATTTTATAAGTATGTAGACAACACATTGTAGGAAAATTCTCATGGTTCTGAGGACAGAAGTAGTTCAGGACCAGGTGTGAAGCTCTTGTGTGGCAGGTTGCCCAGTTAGCTATGGGACAAATACCTTCAAGGATGCCCTTGATCCTTCAGGAACACCACTGGCATATTTTCCTGAGATAATCCCACAAGCAAGAGGAGACCAAGTCATTGCTCCAACTCCTACAAAACAATCAAAGGGTGCAGAAACATGAAAACCAACACCAACAATTTAAAAAAAAACCCAAACAATAAAAGACCAAAAAAAAAACATTTACCTTAGAACAGTTACATCATTCTGAGGCTTAGAAAATGTTCAGCCATGACAGAGATTGGGCATTTTTCAAAATAATGCAAAAATATATAAAAACGAATATGCCACTTTTATTCCACTTTATGCATTCCCATGTGAAGAACCTCAAAGACCAGAATAAAGAAGTTGTGCAATTCATTGCTTATTTTCCTGAAGAGAAATGCCAGCCCTCACAGAGGTTTCCTTCTTAGAAAGCAGATTTAGGATTGCACCCAGTTTCATCTAATGGTTAAGGCACCAGTCAAGGACCAGGAGATGTGAGTTCTATTCCTGTTTTAGGCATGAATGTCATCTGAGTGATTTTGGACCAATCACTCTTTGCAATAGCAGCTAATATCTGTAGCTTGGGCATGCAGATTTGTTCTCCAAGCTTGTGGGTTGGTTTCCAAATTTTTTTTTAATCAGGCTAGGTATATCTTCAGTGGAGTTTAGGGGATGTCAGTATTCTTCTATTGACACAGGACTCACAGTTGACCCATCACAAGACCCTCACTTGACACACCCATACCTGAAGCCCTTATAAACAGAAGAACACAGACACTGACATCATCTAAACTCCACTGAAAATGTTACCTTGCCTGGTAACAAAACATTCGGAAACCAACCCACAAGCTCGGAGAAGAAATCTTCATCCTCCTCCTATGCCAAAGCTACAGATATTAGCAGAGATTGAACCTTCACCCTCAATCACTCTTTCTCAATTCGCTTTATATTGTTGTTACTGTGGGGAAAATAGGAGGAGGAAGGAATATTAGGTATGAGTTATTTATAAAAACAATAAAGGTAAAGGTTCCCCTCGCACATATGTGCTAGTCGTTCCAGACTCTAGGGGGTGGTGCTCATCTCCGTTTCAAAGCCAAAGAGCCAGTTCTGTCCAAAGACGTCTCCGTGGTCATGTGGCCAGCATGATTAAATGCCAAAGGTGCATAGAAACACTGTTACCTTCCCACCAAGATGGTCCCTATTTTTTCTACTTGCATTTTTACATCCTTTCAAACTGCTATGTTGGCAGAAGCTGGGACAAGTAACGGGAGCTCACTCCATTACGTGGCGCTAGGGATTTGAATCGCTGAACTGCTGACCTTTCTGATCGACAAGCTCAGTGTCTTAGCCATTGAGCCACTGCGTCCCTCATAAAAACAATACAGGTGGGATCAAAATAAAATCTAATCTCAGACCTTTAAGGAGTGAGAAAATGAACATCTGTAGTTTTGATATATGATAGAAAAAAGCTGCTGCAATCGCGAAGAAGCCTCGCTGTCAGTTCCTTCCGTGAACAGGGATAATTCTTCTAAGCAAAGATTTATATAGCTGTGATAATGATTGAACAGTAGGGGACAGGCACTGCCGCTGAGTATATGCTTTGGACATAAAAAGGATTAATTTCTCATTTTTTTATGAAAGATGCTGCCCTGGTACATTACCTATCTTGTGGTATAATTCCGGCAACTGAACCTCAACTTTGTCTCTTTGGAAAAGGTGATATTCTGCTTGTTCACACACTGGTGGTATCATATTAAACTGTCTTGCTACCGAATATGCTTCCTGTTGAGAATCAGCAGCAAAAGAAAAATACATTAGCAGGGAAAATTCCTCAGGCATAAAATCATACATCAATCAAAGCCATTATTTTTCATTCCTCGTTCAGGCATATTTATTAAGGCTCTGACACTTGATTTACTTGGTGAATACATTAACAATATTTTGAGCAATGGAAAAAACACCGCTCTGAAGAATCTGATAGGGTTTTTTTAAAAAAATGTACAAAAACCTGCATTCTCTCAGGAGGGGCAAATCATTTGCAAAAAACTGTGCGCATTAAGGACAAAAGCACATTAGGGGGACAATTATATACAGTACCTGCCACGTACGCACTATGGCAATATGCAAATTGAAATGGTAAATTAAAAAGCTACATTTTAAAAAGCAAGTATAGCTTCAGTTGCCGGCTAACCGTGTATGAAACAGCTCTTGAATTACAAAATGATTATCGGAACATACAAATGAAGGAAGAAGAATGCATGATGAAGGTTTAGGCCTGTCAAGTTGATCCTGCATCTCACTGATGCATTGTTAATCTCTATAAACAGATGCGCTGCTGGTCATTTTTCTGCCCTTGCGGAACAAAGGAAGAATTGTAGCATGAGTCCACATTTGGTCCAATTCCAATGTTTCGACAATTTATCCCAAAGTGATAACATAAGAGACGTAGGTAATCATCTTTCAATATTTTGATGTTTTCCCACAATGAAAATACAAGAGGAAAATATTTGATGGCAACATCGTGTACATGGCCCAAAAAAGTCAGACTATAGAAGCACAGCTCTTTTATGCCAGACTATTCTTGATGTTTAATTAAATGTGAATTAATTGATTATTGTTCATTCCTAAAAAGATAGATTACCATAATCTCCATGGCACTCCAGCGCGAAGTCCCCCAATACATTGTCATCCCCCGGTCAATCACATGTGTCATTGCTCGGACAATCTCTAAATTAGAAAAAAGGCAGAATTACACAAGAGATGCTAATAGATTAACAGGCTACTTCAGAAGCCAATATTTTCAATTTATGCAAGAGAAATGGAGTTCATATGATACTGGCCCAGCCTTCTTCCATTACTAGCATCTTTCACTTTGATGGAGAAAATCTGTAGAGAAATACTGAATACATTTAGATGAATTAGGTTGCACAAACTTGATCACAAGGCCTACTAGATTTTCTTCAGACCTTGCCCATGGACATAATAGGGATAGAACTATGAGTGGGATTAGGACACTGTAGTCCTCAACTTACAACAGTTCATTTAGTGACTGTTCAAAATTACAACAGCACTGGAAAAAGTGACTTATGACCAATTTTCACATTTATGATCTTTGCAGCATCCCCAAAATCACGTGATCAAAATCCAGATGCTTGGCAACTGGTTCATATTTATGACTGTTGCTGTGTCCCAATGTCATGTGATTACCTTTTGAAACCTTTTGACAAGCAAAATCAATAGGGAAGCCACTTAACAACTGTGTTACGAATTTATCAATTGCAGTGATTCAGTTAACAAGTGTGGCACGAAAGGTCATAAAATGGGGCAAAACTCACTTAACAAATGTCTCACTTAACACCAGAAATTTTGGGCTCAATTGTGGTCATAAATATTTCTCTTTCTGGATCTGTCTTACCCGAGGAGCAATAAATGTTATTCATATTGCAGTGGTACAAAACATTCAACATACATTGGTCTGAAGCAAGGGTCAGCAACCCACAGCTCTGGAGCTGCATGTTGCTCTTTCATCCCTCTGCTGTGGCTCCCTGTCCCCAGTTAGCTCCACAATTGATAGGGCTTTCGGTTAGGACAGGTAGAAGAAAAAGGATGCCGTGCTATAAGGAGATTCTATAGTGGGGGAACTGAACTTCCAGTTGGCTCCAGAATTGAACAGGGGGCTTCCAGTTAGGACCTGTGTGGCTCTTTGAGTGTTTAAGGTTGCCTGGTCTGAAGGAAGCACACCCTTCTCAAAGCATGGTAACAGGCACACCTTCTCAACCATTCTCAGATCATCTCTGCATTTACAGGCAGGAGATGCTGTTTTGCATTAATGACATTTTACGACTTATTTACAGGCAACCCAAGAAAACTTTACGCCAAGGTGGTTTGTATTGTATTATCTTCTATATACTTATAGATTCATGTCCCTGTATGTAGTTCACTTCTCTCATAAATGAATATCACTAACAGGTTTTATATATATATATCAGATATTATATAAGAACACTTTAAAAAGATTTTTCACACTTTCCCTTTCAATACATCTACATTCAACTTGGCCAGTAGCCATCCTAGATAAAATCCACCCTTATTCAGAAGAAAGAAAAAGCTGTTACCATGAAGCTTTCCTCATTTTTTGTGCTGTTTCTCGAGAGTTTTGCATTATAAAAAGTAGTGAGATAGTGATGTGTACATCATCACTTCAAGAGTACAAAAAAAAATCTGACAGATGGAGAGGGGGGAATAACATTTGGACTGTGTCTGTTTGGCTGTCTTTCTAAAATCTTCTGGGCATGCCTATGGCTATGCAAGAGGCTATGCCACCTTGCTTCACCAAACATGCATGCATGCCCTAAAGGCCTTAATCAAGTTATACACATTTGCTTGGTATCTTTAAAGAATGAATACCGATATGGATCTTTTTTCATTGGCATAGGTCAAATGTAAACTCTGGAATAAAACTGTTTTAAAGGTACTTTAAACATCACTAACCCAGGGGTGTCAAAATCAAGGCCCGAGGACCAGATCTGGCCTATGATGTGCTTAGATCTGGCCTGCAGGGCCACCCTGGAAACAGCAAACGACTGACCCGCAGTGCCTTTGCCAGCAAAAATAGGCTCATGAGCTCTGTTATAGGCTTCCTGAAAGCCTCTGCCAGATAAAATGGAGCTCCGAGGGCCGTGTCGCTGGCAGAGTGCTCAGGCCGCCACAGGAACCCCTGACATGATTGATGCTGAGCTGGCCACACCCACCCTGCCCATGTCCACCCTTTGCCTCCCAAGATCAACCACAATCGTGATGTGGCTCTCAATAAAATTGAGTTTGACATCCTTGCACTAACCCAACCTGGGCATATTGCTTGGCTTGCAGTTCCTACATACCAACTGATGTGCCTAGTATATTCTTTTCTAGATTCAGACAATCATTCATGGCCTTATCACCACATACACCGACTACTGCAACATGGTCTGCATGGTTTGCCCTTTCAAGACCACCCAGAATCTTCAGCGGGTTCTCAATACAGCAACATGGGCAGTGAAGGGTATTCCTCAGTATGCCCACATAACATCTCTCCTTCGTAAGCTACACTGGTTTCCAGTTTGCTTTCAACTACAATTCAAACCCTTGCCTGGTATAAGGCCTGGGGACTTGAGGGTCTACCTGTCTCCAATACTGTAGTACAGGGGTGCATTCTGGCAGTCACTACTGCTGGTTTGCTCGTGGGTGCACTGTGCGCTAAAAATTGTTCTAGGCATGCGCAGAAGCAAAAAACAAGATGGCGGCACCATAGGCGCTGCCCGGAGAACCGGTTTGGGGGCATGGCAGTCCTGCTGGTTCCAGCGACCCAGGCCACCAAACCACTACCAATTTAGCCGAATGAGTCCGAACAGGTAGGAACACACCACTGCTGAAGTATCTGCCTGGCTTATTCAGTCTTATAGGGTTGGCAGTATCCAGGTTCTTTCAATTAAACAATGTTACCTATTGGGGCCCTGGAAGCACACTTTCTCTGTCGCCCTGTGGAATAAGTCTTCCCCACTATCTAGATCAGTGTTTCTCAACCTTGGTCTACCTGAAGATGCGTGGACTTCAACTCCCAGAATTCCCCAGCCAGTTGAAGTCCACACATCTTCAGGTAGGGCAAGGTTGAGAAACACTGATCTAGATGGTCCCTCTCTGCTCTTGTTTAGAATGGCTATGAAAATCTGGATCTTCTCCCAGGTCTTTGGTGAAGGAGTGAAATCCCTTACTTAATTCCCAACCGGTTTGTTATTTTTACCATTTTTTACCTAAAATTGGTTAGATTGTATTTCCCTTGTTTTAGTTGTCCATCAGACATGACACAATTTTTCAGTGTCTTTCAAAAATGCAGTACCTGGAACTTGGTGTAGCATTCTTAAATGTGGTTTAACACTGCAGAGAGGAACCGTTACTTCTTTTGAATTTGACAGTATACTTTTGTTGATGGAGCCAATAACTGCATTTGTGGGGCGGGGGTAAATGTTGGTTTATATTCATCTTAAACTGCAATCCAACAAGATTCCTAGATTTTCAATCTGAGAAATCATGTTGCCTTTTACCAACTACTCACTATGCGAAAAAATGAACAGTCATGTTATTTAGGTCGAGTTTAGGCTCTTGACTTTAGGCTTTACAGAACAAGGGAGGATAGCCAGAAATTTGTATTAACTGAGCTATAAACTACATTACGAGCTTTTTTTATCTCTCTCTGTTTTATTCTCTCCTTTTAATTCTGAAGCTCCCCGTAAAATAGTTCAAGCATATTATATCGCACAGTTTCACCTCTTCTTCTATTGGTATCACCTGTTAGCCTCCCCTCCAATTACAAGAATAAGAAAAAAAAAATTCTTCTGCCATTACAGTGTTAGACAATTACTTTGCAATAAAATTATCTTCTTATAGTAAAAGTAATATAATAACGCATCTGAAATGACACTTATACTGATTAATTGCCCTGCAATTATTTAATGTAAGAAGGGACAAAAAAGAAAATGCATTGTAGTGAGTAATATCAGCCTTAATGAGACCCAGCATGCCAGTATAGCCACTGCTGATGGGGAAGTCTATTCGATATTAGTTCTAATAGTTCCTCATTTCATGGAACCTGGCACTTAAGCAACCGTCTCATCCCAACTGAACTGACCTTTCCGACCAGGTGAAGGATGGAGGCGTGCTATGTTTCTTGTAGGTCAAGGAATTTGACTGGTGGCATCTAAGAGGAGGGCCTTCTCAGCTGCTGCCCCCATCCTTTGGATCATCTTACCCCCAGAGCTCCCACTCTTCTGGTTTTATGGAAGAGTGTTAAGACTTGACTTTGCCCATTAGCATGTGGGTGTAAGAACCCTGGAGATGTCTGATGGCTTGAGGACATTTCCATTGCCTCGTTAACCTTTTATAACTTTTGTTCATAACCTTTGTTCATAATCTTTTGCTGAGTTTTTAACTTTGTTTTTATTTTTCCTTTAAAGTTTGACTTGTTTTCAATTCTGGTTTTTAATCTGGGATTTTATTCATGTGTTTTTGTCATGTGATTGTAAACCAGAGTCACTTAGGTGAAATGAGTAGCATAGAAATCTAATCAATCAATCAAGAGCTGTTCTTTGAATGGTTATTTGGGAGAAATCTCAGGGAGAACTGCATCTGGACCTTCAATGTGAAATTTAATCCAGAGATGATTTTCTTTTTTTCTTTTTTTTTTTCTTTATATATATTTTATTATGTTTTCATTCTATACAATCACATATTCACTGTGCTTAATCAGGGCATATAACATAGAAAATGCCCTCTACAATACAAACCCAGTATACCACCATACAATACAAATCCAGAGATGATTTTCAAGCAACCACTAAAACTAGAGAGAGTCGCCATCAGACAACCAATGACCCATCATCGACATAATAATCCAACATCCTTGGATGATATCTGTCAGTCCTTTGTGGTAAGCCATAGCAGGAAACAGGCACCATTAGAATAACTGGAATAAACTCTCACTTATTATTGCAGGACACAACAAGCTAATGTTGAAAGCCTAACAAAGATTCACTGCAAAACACATCCCATACCAAAGAACCAAGTCAGGGAAATCTTAAGTTTCTTTCTCATTCCTTCCTCCCTTCCTGGTTGTAAGATGGTATTTACAGACTGATCACCAAACATTTCTTCAATTCTAACTATGAACTTCTCTACAAGAAAGTACAGGTAGT